TCTCTCAGTTCACTATCCCAGACTGTCCTGTCCACTTCAGCCCTTCAGTTGAGAGAGCTATCTGACCTTGTTTCTGTCATCCCAGTGAGATCATATCCCTTCAATTGCTGACAGATGTCTCATTCTTCCTCTTTGTTCTCTGTTTGCATGCAGAGAAATATAGACATTCAAATTGTGCTGATTTCCCAGAGAAAATATGAGAAGTTTCCTCTGTTATGCTGTCCTACAGATCTTAATTTATGTGCATACACTTGAGGTGAGCCCCTTTCAGTCCCATTTTATAGATTATGAGGTTTCTCCTTTTTATATAACCCTGTGCAACTTGCTTGACACTAAAATATGCACCAAAGGAAATATCATAGAAGAAGACATCAAGATAATTCTTTGGGTAATGAAGTCTTCAGTTATCTGCAACATTAGCATTGTGGAAAGAGAAGTGAAGACAAGGTAGTGGAGAAGGCGTGATCAATGAGAACCAGGTACAAAGGCTTGTAAAGGACCAAGGGCAAAAGAAAAGAGCACATCCAAATTTGTGGTTCCTCATTAAAACTTAGGGGAGGTCCCTGGAGTTGGTCAAATTGTTCCTATTTCTTAGAGCCTTACCCTTGGTTATCCTGCCATAGTGCTTCTCACTCCAGCAGAGGATGGCAAACAACCAAATTGTTTTCTCAAAGTGAAATCATGGAAGTCCTGAGTAGAAGTTTAGTCTTTCTGTGTGGAATATACATTTGTTTTTTAGTGTTCGTGCTTCAGCAGATACTTCATAATTTAAGATTTATTTAATATTCTTTTATTTTTTGTAACCACCTATAATCTCTGTATTATTTTGACCTAGATCACTGTGTTCAAGTCATGAAGGACTAACTTTTCTGCTTCATCTTCTTGTTCTGTTCTGGCCTTAGCCCTTTAATAGGGCTTGTGATGCATGGTAATTTGTTAATGTGTGGGAAGCCAAAAATAATCTATGTCTGCTACTAACACTGTAGTGGAGTCTTAACTTATTACTAGGAAGCCAATGACAAATAAGAAAGAAAATCTTTTTTTGAGAAAACTGGCAACACTTATGGTTTCTTTATGGTTTTATTATAAGCTCTGACAATGTAAAACTAGGGTTATTATTCTGAACTGAAAAAAAAAAAAAAACAACCAAAAAATTGCAGCTGTATAACCATAGATTAGCCAGGAATTAAAGAAACCATTTTAAATCATTCAGCTCTGACTGAGGCTGTAAAACAGCTATCCTGGCTGAGTACCACAATTACACTAGAGCTATGCTACCACAACTTTTTTACTGCTGGGCTGTTTGACCTAAGCATGTATTACTTCTGAAACGCTATTTTCTTTCAATCAACTGGGGAACAAAAACCCCCAAAACTATTGGAGAGAGAGAGAGGATGAGTCAACTAGGGGAAAATTGAACATATTCTAAGTCATGAGATTGGCCAGGCAATTCAACTTTACTGATTTTTAAGGGAATCTTTTGAAATAAACTAGATGCTTCACTTTAAATTGATCAAAGCTGGGGTAAGGTCAAACCTAACCACAGTGTCTTAGGGACCTTTGGAAAGGTTCATCACTCCAAGGGTGGGCACTGGAATAGGTTCCCAGGGAGGGAGTGGTCTCAGCATCAGCCTGATAGAGTTGAAGAAGCATTTGGACAATGCTCTCAGGCACATGGTGTGATTCTTAGGGCGTCCCGCACAAAGCTATGAGTAGGACTCAATGATCCTATTGGATCCCTTCCAACCCAGGATATTTTCTGATTCTATGAAATCCAAGAAGAACTAGGAAAAGGGAACCATTATTGTTCCATTTGGAAGAGTAAGCAGAAAAAAAAAAAAAAGCGAAATTAATGAGAAGAAATTATACATATATGAAAACATAAAAAATCCCAGTAATAATTAATAACAGTTGTGTGCACTATGTTTTGCTTAGACTTTTCATCATCTGTCAAAATTCCCAGCTAAGTAATAAAATGAGGAACATCTTCCTTACAACAGCTCCAATGGCCTCCAAAAACATAATTAACATAATTTTCCACTAAAAAGACTCGATATATAACAATGAAATAAATGTGATAATGTTTATACTCTCTATATTAGAGTATAATATATAGAATCATATTTGAGAAAATACAATGCTATAACACTAGAAAAACTGTGAGCTGTACTTACTTCAGTTCAATGAGAGAATAAAGATTTAAACATTCTGCTCAAATGTCTCTTCAGCCAAATCACTGTGCATTCAAAATTAGCATTCCTTTTTCAACTAAGAAAAACTGAAAGTAAAGAAGTGGGGAAAGAAAACAGATAACAAAGAAAAATAAGGTGTCAAGGAGCTAGGCAGAAATATATATTGTTCCTTGAAACTTCTGAGAGCAGAAAACATGCTATTTCACACTGTGAGAATGTTACACATTTACTGAATCAAAGTGAGAGCAGTCTTTTGGACATTCTTTTGTTGTGTAAGAAAAATAAGCGACAGAACTTATAGTGTACAATTCTGTATAAGCATTATTTTTAGGAATTTAGGAGCCACTAAAAAGAAACAGAAAAAGAAACAGAATAGCAATAGCTTCCATAAATATATAAAAAAATCTTCGGTGGATAAAATACAGTACAATTAAAAACTGAATAACAGCAGTGATCATTTGTTTGTGTGCTGATCCTCAGATTTACTACCTATGAGAATTGTTGTCTGGCAAAAGGAGAGATCAGATGAAAAATGTTTATGTAAAATATGAAATAAACTTATTTCTAGTTCTCCAGAAGGGCAGGTACAATCTTGCAATCCTACATGATAGAGGAGAGAAGAGACATTTGTCATTTACTGCTGGGTAATAAAGACAGCAAGATAAAGAACCCTGCAGAAAAACTCCCGTAATATGGATTGCTGTACTTCTTAAAGGAAAGGATGATGTGTAGCAATTTTCTTCAGGCAAGTGTGAGTAGTGATCACTTTTAGTACTTATCTGTGCCAAGTAGCATTTACAGACTAGTTCAGAAATGGTGGTCACCTTTGCATATAAGAAAATATTCAGTAGTATTTATATATGGTCTTAGTTTAAGAATCAGCTCAGAGCAAATCTTGATGGAGGTAATGCAGTGTCTTCGGGGAGGAGCAAATCAAGAAAAATAATTCTGGTTGTTTAGGTTCCCCAACCCCCCCCCCCCATTAATGGTTCAGAGACATTCTGAATCACAAGATTTTTTACAACTGCTTTTATCAGCTGTATGACAATAGAAAACTCCTGGCTGTCCTAACTTTCATGATTTTTTTCTTACTTTTTTTTCTCCAGAGACTTCTTTTTCACACTTTTGTTATCTGCAATATCTCTGGCAAAATATACCAGAGGCAAATCATGCAAGAAAAGTGCTTCACATACTTTAAGCTTCTATCATGTGATACTCTCAGGTTCTTGCACTCTGTGACATAACATACAGTGATTCGGGGTTCACTGTCTGTCAAATTCCTGATTTTGTAGGTGTGTACCCTGTATGCCTCGGATAACTTTTATTTAAACTGAAGAATCCCTTTCATTTCAAGAATATCCATTAAATTGTTGTTGTTGCTTCATTTTGTTTGTTTGTTTGGTTTTAGTTTTTTGTGCTTCCTGTTTTTCTTATTTTCTGCTTTATAGCTGAAGTAGCGGAAATCATATGACTAAGAAAGAGGTGATGCATTTATTTATTTGCATAATAATGCTCTTTATTTTGCTCCACTTTTCATTCCATAATATTTTGTAGTATTTTATTTATCTCTTTGACTACCACATCAAAGGTAACTGATATTGTAAAGGAACTATATAGCCAACACTTTTCTAAGCTGCCAAGATTTTGAAATGGCAGTACATTTAAATGTATCCCTGCTGATTAGCTCTGTTGGTTAGAGCATGCTCAGGCTGTGGGCTCAATCCCTGCCCCTGCATGGGGAAGACATTAATTTAAAAGCTGGATCCAATGACCCCTGTGGGTCCCTTCCAACTCAATATTCTGTAATTCTGTGAATTATAGATCAGAAAAAATAGTCTAAAAAGAGTTATATTATTTTTCTGAGAATTTATTGGTAACTTTCATAGCATTGTTTTTTTATTTTAGCATGTTGCAAACCTTAAGGACAGTAGAAATATACAAGTTTTTTACAAGCTTGTTTCTTTTTTTTTTCCTAATTAACTCTTAAACTGAAAAACATAAATTTAGGCTTCAAATTTTAATTTGCAGTGTAACTGAGTTTGATCTTTCAACTGGATAATGAGCAAAATATCTTATCTACAAAAAGTCATATCTGTGGTCCACAGATGTGATAATATTAGTTTCCCCAGGAACTGGTTAGATAGTGTGAAAATACTAAAATATCTTGCCATGTATAATGTAATGTAGAAAGAATAAAAAATAAGTTTTTAAAATAGAAAGTGGAAGTGAGATCCAATCTAATTTAAACATCTATCATGCATGAAAATTGCAGCTGTGTTTTGAAATTAAATTGGTTTTAAAAAGTTTTCTTGAACTTCACAATCTAATCAGTGGGCACATTTCAGAAGATATCATGGGGACGATCGTATTCACCTGACTGCCTTATAAAAATTTATCAGAGCCTTTTTCCTATTGGAGGCTTAACAATGAATCTACTCCTCTTTGCTGACAATATAGGCACTTTAGAGTAGAACTTAGTTTTATGTGTTAGTTAACACTGTAAGTCATGGATCAGTGCTTATTCTTTCATGATCCTTTAACTGAGTGGAAATAGATATGACTTCCAAGAAAACAAGCTTAGTATGATAAAGGACTTTTTCCTACTTAACTGGAACATCCATGTTGAGATGTTTCTATATCATCATTATTAGATACAATTATTGTTATTTTCTTATAAAGACAAAAATAGGTGATTTTTTTATTCCCCTGAGTCAATTTATCAAACACAGAGATCCAGATGAACAACAATAACAGGTTAGTTCTTAGGAACTTACTATGTCAGGGAAGAGATCCTACTGTTAAGCATATGTGAAAGTGTTCCTCTTGCCAAAGCATTACTACTTAAAGATGTGATCACTACTTTCAACTGATTAATTAGCTTTAGAATTTATTTTATTTTTCTGTGTACCAGGAGAAGAAATGGACCTCTTTACATTAATTGGTGCTTAGGATTTCTGGTACTGTAGGCAAACAAAATTTAGGCACAAGCTAGGCAGACCAGAATGTTTATTTCTGCTTTTAAAAAAACTTTTCACAAAATTATGCATTCAATTATATTGCATGCAGAAAAAAAAATGCACATTTAAGCACCACCTACCAAGCACTGAAGAACTATTTTCTAGATAATGCGTCATTTCTTAAAGACTAGAACTTTTTTAGGAATTTTCCTTAATTAAACATAACAAAATTGATAATCATAAATGTGCCTCAATGCATGCATTGTGTACCCATATTTCTAATATCTGTAGAATCACTCTTCTGATGCACTAAAAGATTACCTTGCTCAAACAGCACACAGTCTTCACTTGTGAAACCTTGTTTGTTCAGAGTCACGTGTTGCCACAGATTTGTCAACGCATTTCTTTGAGCTGCTATACAACAGAATGATTATCGTTGTGGTGCTTTTATTGCGCAGCTCCACTTCTTTCCCATCTGATTTGTTCTTCAAGGCACAACACATGTTCCTCTGACCTTTTCAGAAAACAGTAGAAAATTGAATGCAAGGTTATTACACTCACAGATTTATCTCGACTATGTCCTAGGTTATAGCTCTTGCATGTAAAAAACACCTAACTGAATTGCAATCTCTCTTTAACTTGTTCCTCTTTAACACCAAAATAAATAGAGTAAGATTGCATTCCTTCCAAAAGAACATTTATTACCTTTCACTAAGTATTAATAAATTCATGTTTCTCTTCCAGATGACTTTTTAGATGAGAATTTGTACTTCTCCTAGACATATTTGTAATTTGTAATTCTCCTAGATGTAGCCCAGCTTGCAGCAGAGGACCATCACAGCCACATGAAGTATAAATGATAGTGCAAAGCATTGCAGAAATTTTACTGAGATTTTAGGGAACTACAAAGAATTTGATTAGTTACAACTACCAATTGAGATAACAGAGAAGAAGACAATAAGAAAAACTCCCTGATTTAAAAAGAGGAAAAAAAAAACAAAGCCAAGCAGATAGAAATCCTGAATGCAAAAAAGAATTGTTTAAGATAATTATTTGTGCATCAGTGTGAACATAATAGCAGCTAAGAGGGGTAAAATTTAAAAACAAAAAAAATGGGTGAAGAAAATTTTAATCACAGATTTAACTGGTCTTCTGGTAATGACACCATACACAGAAACCCCTCTCCAAAAAGTTTGGAGAAAAGCATGCACTGCAAAATTAAGAAAAGCCTTGACAGAGCCCCTCTGAAAGCTGAACAGAACTTCCTGATGATGTCCCAAGCCAGGACACTAAATATTTTTCAGTGCAAACTGCAGTATAAAACAGCATCATCTGTGCAATTGCAGGCTTTGTTTCTTTATAGAAAAATCTCAAGTGAAATTCAGCCTTTACTGTAATTGGCTATCGTCAACAGATTCAATGGATCTACACATGGCCCTTATTGAGGCTTTAAATGGAGTAAAAGAAAATAAACATTATTTTTATATACTTATCTGATATCCAGAAGAGAAGAGATATGAAAAATATTACATCAGAACCTAAACTAAAATATTAATCATGTGCATGATTGACATAATACAAATTTTCCTCCAAAGTTTTTGGAGTCATGAGAAGCCTTACCATTGTCATTAACAGTTCTGTAAACTCTTCCCAGATTATTAATTTCTTCTTGTTATATAAGGGGACATCTTAATGTCATATGAAAATTGCCAATGGTTTATCTACACATTAGAAGGATCTTACACAGGAAATTAAATTGAATTAATTAAATCTGTGGTGTTGTTGTCAAGGATTTTTGTTTTCTACAACAACAAAAATATTATGGAATTTATCATAAATAGGTAACTGATTGTGTGGCTGTTGTTGCCAATAGTCAGCAAACTAAAAATAAAAACTGCAAATAACGCTGCCAGATACAGCTGTTGCATCTTGTGTATGTTAGTAAAAATGGCATGATAGCCCAAGATTTATTCCTTGTTTTTTCAACAGTGAGCTTATTGAAGACAGAGAAAATTTATCAGTTCACTGATTAAGATGCTTACTCACTCTGAAAAGGCAGTATGAGAAAAAAAATGAAAAAAAACCCTAAATTCTCATCGATACTGCTAATTTTTGATCCCAAATTATAAAGAGCTAAGCACTTACATGTTTGCACAAAGCAAATTTCTGCAGGTCTGGTTCATTGGTTAAACTGTAATTTCATTCCAGTGAGTAGCTAAGTAGAAAGAATGGGAATCTTCATTTATGCTAAAGTGATCTTAGACCACTTTTCTCTCAAAAGTCAGCATGACCCATTTTTCCTACAAACCCCCACGGCGCTTCAAATAAATTCCAAGCAAACACCATTTGGAGAGTATGGATGAGAAACAATGGGATGGAGATAACTGTTCTCGCAATTTAGCCCTGGTTGCTGCCTTCAAATGTTCAGATTTATATTCTGAATGTTCCTTTTGAACACTGTTGAATAACTGCATGGATGATGTTGCTCAGAACAAGGTGAAGCCGTAAAAGCACAGGTGTGTCATGCAGGCTCCTGAGGGACTGAGTGGGCTTTAGGAATAACTCTGTGTTTCAGGTTTCTCAGATTCCAATAATCTGTAGATGAACACATTTCAGTCTTTCAGCTCCAGCTCCACAGTTACCTTCAGCTCAGCATTTAAAAACTGTCATATGTTTTCTGAATTCACAATACCAAACCACCTGTGACCCATCTCCTGTACAGGTATGACACATATTTATCATGCTCCTGGTGAGCTGAGTCTGATTTAACTGAATCTTTCAATTTTCATGTTTATGGCGGTTGTCACAGTAGTCATAAGTAGATATGTGAAATTTGACAAAATCATTGACCTTAACAGAAAAGAGCTTTATCATTGAATAGAAATAAATTCCTTTATTACATATGTCTTTGGAGACTTCTAATACAAGTTTTTCTTCCTCTCTCCCTCTCTCTCTCTCAATAGAGTAATTCAGAGAAAAATCTGTGTTTCTTCCAAAGTAACCACATTCCTTAGAATTTTAGAAATAAACCAAGATCCTCAAGTGCATGTCGGAGCAATTCCTTAGAAGTTTAGAAATAAACCAAGATCCTCAAGTGCATGTCGGAGCAATTCCTTAGAAGTTTAGAAATAAACCAAGATCCTCAAGTGCATGTGGGAGCAGGCTAAATTTAATAAAAAAAGCTATCTTTCCTAATAAGCTTTTTTTGCTTCCTTCTACAGCAAAATGAAGGGCACATGTCATAAAAATAGCCTTGGAGAAAATAATAAAGAATGGATATTTTATGTCTAGTTTGTGTATTCTGTTCTAGTGAACAGATTGACATATCCTGACATCTCAACAGCTTTTCATTGATTTGACACTGCTCTTTCATCACCTCTGCTCTAATAGCATCAGAAAGGCCACACTGTTTCCAGAATCCGGCTTTGCAAGTATATCACAGTGCTTGGAATTAACAAAGTCCTGACCTAAATGTTACAACAGAATGCTTCATGACTAAAAAGCACTTTACAGATATTTTTATTAAACAGGTCGCTGCAGTAAAAAAGAAAAAATAAAGAAGAAGAAAACAAACAAAGAAAAAGCCAACCAAACAAAAACCAAACAACATCATGTATGCTGTCCTACATTCTTTTTTTTCCTCTTTTGCAAATAAAGGCATGCTTAATTATCTAGACTTCTCAGGCATTTAAATGCTTTCTGCTTATATAAGTACCATACCTAAATATAGACAAGAATTTTCATCCGGTAATTGTTAGTTTAATTGTAGACTACTATGGCAAAGCACACAAAATTATTTACCTCTTCTTAGATGTTAATCTGAAGTTTGCTGACTTTTCTGTTTTGTTACCAAGATCACTGGAGGGTCCCCAGGATGCCACATGTTACTTGATAACTACCAGTATAATGTCAAAGATCATAACAAATAACCCATACCAACTCTACAAAGAGCCTTGCTAAATATCTGAAAGTCAACTAAAGAAAAAAATGTCTTTATGCATTGCCTTTGGAGTGTGGACCTGTTATCTATCTATGACTGCATCTGGATTTTCTTACTCCTCAAAATTAAAAAAAAAATTCTTGTAAGACCAGACCAAGGATGAGTTAAGACTCACTCTAAATAACTATACTCCCCAAGCAGTAAAACAAATGAAGTCTGATCTCCAAGAGCATTTTCTTTGATAGCTGGGTTCTCTGCTGTCCTTTGAGTTATAAAGCTACCATGTTTCCTTTTGGGAACTTCAGGGTCAAATATGTGGAGTTCATTCTGTCTTCTCTGCTCAGCTGGGTGGTTTTTAGTGGGCCATGAAAGAAGAAAATCACGGATCTTTAGTTCTCGCTTCCCTGCAAAATTACATTAAATTGATTGATAGGAATTTCCACTTCTCTAAGAAATCTGCTTCAAATACGTGGTTTGTTAGTCTACCAAAGACACGATGATTTATTTAAAAAAATTAAAAATAGGTAAAGCATGGCATATAAACAGCATTAACAATTGCAGCATTTTACTATATTTCCAGTTCCTGTTGGCAATGAACAAGTTAATATTTAAAATCTTTTTATCAATGCAGAGTGAAAGCAATTATAGTAAGTTTTAACAGCGAAGGTCAGTAATCCATATAATTTTTTGACTGAGAATTTAGAGAGCTATTGAAGGAATATGAAATTATTCTATATTAGCATTTCTTATTCAGATCTGGTACAAAATAGCAGTTGGCTTCACCTTGCATAATTGAAATGCTCACAGACAGGAGAATAAACTCTCTCCTTTTTTTTTTTTCCTTTTCTTTTTCTGCCTTTAACCCTGGTGAATGTCAAGATCTATTTCGGTTCCACTTTAAAAATCTTCAAAATTTTAAACTTCTTTCTTTTTAATATTTTTGTATTTTACATCCTCACAAGTGAAAAAAGCCCCCAAAATATTCTATAGGAAGGTTGTTAGTGCAAAGATTCGCACTCAGTGCACAGCAGCCCACAACTTCCTATCTGTCATGACTGCACATCCAGTTACAAAGAGCTATGTTAATCCACTCTTGACTTTCTCAGTTTTTTTTTTGTTAGGTTGTTTTTTTGGGGGGGAAAGGGTTGGGTTTTATTTATTTGATTGGATTTTTGTTGTTGTTTTGGTGGTTAAAATTTTTAATTACACCTGTGTTTGCTCAGACACTAATAGTTTATATTTAACCATTTTTTTAAAAAAATTAATTATTTATGTTCCTTTATATAAATATATTCCTTAATATATAAATATAATAAAGAATTTTAATTATTAATTTTGGAGGAAGGGAAGAAGGAAGGAAGCAGCAAAAGATGAGAGAGTTTGTCTTCTGTTATGTTTAAAAATTAATGTAGAGGTTTAATTCAAATTAAATGCTGTCAAATTAACAAAATAATGAAATTATAAATATTGAACTTTAAAACATTAATTACATTGATCTGTGAGCTTTCAGTTGCAGCCATCTGGGAGATTTTGTAAAACATACAGAGAAAATCTGCTATCATGTTGAAGATTTC